TGCAGAATTTGCTTGCACTTAAACAATGTACGAAGCTTATGGATGACGTGTGTTCGAAACCTTCATTTTTGAGTTTGGAATGATTAGTTAATTTAAAACATGCTTTAATCTTTGGCGGTCAATTAAATGCTATCGTTTGTCCACAAAATTCATCAGAGAACAGAATAGAAAGCAAGATTGTTGAATTAAGTTTGTTTGATCTTCTCTTTATGTAGTCTTGCTATGAAAACAAACAATAAAATCAGTGTTTATTCGGAATCTCAGCACATGAAAACTCTACCGATTGAATAAATTTAGTAATCCGAATTGATATTCTAATAAATTTATTCAAACTCACTCGGTTTTTTGAATTTCGAACTTTGACATAATTCGAACTCTTATTTGAGTCTTTCATAAGCTGCAGTTGAATATATTGTCTAAGTATTTCCAGAAATCAATTACTTCTATGAGGTCCGTTTGGTCGATGTGGCCTTTTCAAATAAATTTGATATTATTATAGAAAACATCAAACGCTGATTCCTAATCTGCCTTCGTTATCTAGCGAGCGCCTCTAAATGTCGGGAGTTATGAGCGCTTTTTGACTTGAAAAATTGAATGCAATTTGCAATGAATAATTAGAACAAACTCAAAGGGTCCAGTGTTGAATAAAATGCACCAAAACAATGCTTTCTGTCCAAAACACTCATACTTGACACTGCTCTATCTGAACGCTATAAAAACCGTAAAATTCAATTTTACCTTAAATATGGGTTCATTTTTCACAGAAAGGAATTATTGAAAATCGGCATGCAGAGGCGCTCGGCAGATAATGAAATCAGATTCGAAATTGCAATTTTATGCTTTATAAAACGGTATAAGACTCATTTAAAAAGGCCACTTTGACTAATCGTGCCTCCCTTGTTAGACACATTCGTTTGAGATTTTACAAAAATTTTTATGATTCACGACTTTCCGCATTTCAGGATAGATGGAGTGAAACTTTGATCAAGAAAGATTATGGAGGCAAAAGAGGCGTGTTGAGCTTCGTTGATACCTTTCGACGTTACTGCAAGCGGCTGTCCGGATATCAATCAATACCGGACAGATCACGGTAGAGCATACAGTTGCAGCGGTAGAATTTATCCAAAACTGCGGGATTTTCGGGATTCGCGGGATTGTCGGGATTCGCGGGATTCGCGACTTCACGGGATTTGCGGGATTCGCGGGATTTGCGGGATAAGCGGGATTTAGCTATAACTTCTTTTAAAACAATTTTAAATGAAATCTGCAAGAAGATACGGCTTCAGCTTGATGAGACGAATTTTTTGATATACAGTATGTCCAATTTTTCGCGATAGTTTTCGATAATGAGAACTTTGTACCAGAACCTGCTAATCGCGATTAACGCTGTGATCATACCTTCGATAGTCAAGAGACAGAGCCTAGAAAGTGATAGTTGTTTGAGTTCTTGCCCCCTATAAAAAGTGAAGGTTGTTTTAGAAAAAATAGATGGAAATTTAGAGACCTGAATTGAACCAGGAAACTTGAAAAATCCATATAAAACAGAGGCTAACACATCACCAAATTCAAAACCTTATCTTAGTGGTTTCCTACGCACATTTTCGTCTTCAGAATTGCCGGTCAAATTGGGTGGCAACAGAAACAATGTTCTTTTCTAAATGAAAAAAAGCGTTAGCTGTGGCGGTAGTTGGGAGACCGAAAGAAGGCAAACTTGTCAACAACTGAACTGAACATGTTAAACATGTCTGAAAAGTTATGCTGCACATCGACGCCAATCCGATTTTTGACGCGTCCTTTGAATTTTCACCCCCGCACGGTCGTTTCGTATCCTGCGACGTTGTCTGGATTCTTCCGCTCATCATTCTGAGCAAGTAACGTCCAAGCTGGAGAAAATTCGTTGCAAAAGCATTGAAAAAGAACAAGGTAAAGAAAAACGCACTTTTTGGTAATTTTCACAAAAAAACGGCATAAGCAAAGAAGTAAGCTCGGCGACGTTGTCTACATCATAGACAGAAACAAGACCTATCGAATACACAAAAAAACCGAGTGAAAAGAGTTGAACTGAAGAAAAAACAAGAGTTTTCGAAAACTCCGTTTTTCTTATATTTCTCGTTAAAATCATAAAAAGGAGTCTTGCGACGTTGTCAGCGTGAAAATAGAGATCAAGAGCTCTAATATGATATATAGAATGTCGAGATTGGGCTCCCAACAACGAAGAAAAGGGTACCAGAGCCAAATGCCCCGCGCCCCGCTTTTGGGGTAGCGAGGTAGCGCGCAAGTCGCGGAAACGCAGACGAGCAGCGGAGACAGACCAGAGCCGGCGGGGCATTTGGCTCTGGTCATTGATCTCTGCGGGATCATAATGAAACCCTGTAACATTATATATCGTTGTGATCCTCATGAGACGTCCAGGAGCACTGACAACGTCGCGGGTCTTGAAAAACACTCCATAACGAGATAGACCAGCATTTAAGTAGCGACTCTCTGCGAGATTTGAGCGCAGTTTCTCGTTTCTATTGAACTCCAACGGCTTTCATGAACTTTTGACGCTCAATCGAAGTCTAGAGAAAGATTAATTGGGAAATTTTGCTCCAGTTCCTAATTGAATTTTTGAATAAAAGTCTTTTTGGCAAAAAAGGGCCATAAAAACGTAATCCTCCGGTTTTTTGAGCTTCTTTTGGATGTCACTACTATATTTACCTCATTCACATCTCCCCCTATATGGATATGTCATTAGTTATGCCATGATATCCGGGGCTTCGCCTCGGATGACTTCTCTCTAGGTGAAGGTTGTGTTCTATCATGACGCTCAAAGTGAAGGTCACCAGAGTACGTGGCTCTATGTATCGAAGGTATGGCTGTGATAAATGTTCACAAAAGCCTTAATATAGAAAACAACAAGGTATCATTGTATGTCTCCCCCGTCACCACGATTTACGGACATACTGTATATCAAAAGATTCGTCTCATCAAGCTGAAGCCGTATCTTCTTGCAGATTTCATGTAAAATTGTTTTAAAAGAAGTTATAGCTAAATCCCGCTTATCCCGCAAATCCCGCGAATCCCGCAAATCCCGTGAAGTCGCGAATCCCGCGAATCCCGCGTATCCCGACAATCCCGCAGTTTTGGACAAATTTTACCGCTGCAACTGTATTGTTGTAATACCTTGTTTTTGAAGAGTGTGCTTTTCTCAATTCTCGTTTACACGCTTGCATAGCATGTCTCATGATTTGGTTAAAAGCAATATCTCGTTTGACGATAGTGCAGTTGAGATATTTACCGACAAAACGAACCCAGTTTTGGGCCGGGGAGCGCAATCTCTACTGCAGTCGCGGGTGTCTTATATCGTAAATCATCGACACATAATACTCTCTAACGTCACTCTTTTGCTTCTCTATCCTTCAGGCACGCTGTCTTTATGAGAAAGAATAAAAACGAAGTCAGCATGCTTACAAAAATTTTGCATTAGGCCTTTAGTCTTTTCCAGGACGCCAACAAAATGGCTGAGTCAATTTGGAGTTCTGAAGTCAAGCCAATCTTTTATGAGTCTACTTAGGTTTTTAGTTGTTTTGCCATCATGGAGACTTCCCTCGTCAAAAATACGAGCTGTGCTAGGCTTTAGTTCAAACTAATCTTTTGATTCAGAAACGCTCATAACTGGCGCAAAGCAGCTTGGCAGAATTCCTCGTTTGGAGTATTTGATGAATGGAGATCTAGACGGCTTCTAAAGGTTTATAGTTTTAGTTTTGAAGACAAGAAAACTTTCGTAAACCTTTCCACACGAAAACCTTGGAGACTTATTACAATTTTCCAAGACAACCTCGTAACTTTTCTAGATGGAGCGCTAGAACAACAAGAGTACCATTAAAACGGGTTTGTTCTTTGCTTTCAGAAAAGATGTGCATTTCAAAGATTGGCTGATTTAAGACAATCAATAACAGCAACATCTTTATTCCTTTCCTTTTTGCCAAAGTCAAAAGATACCTTCTTCAGACTATTTTAAAAGTGGGTTCTAAAATATGCTGAAAGTTTTGAGCCAAATGAAAGGAAGGAATCGAAAAGTGCGACTTTTCTCGGCATGACTAATATTGTATCGACTTAATTGTTGAGCTACGTCCGCGAGTGATGTCAAATTTATTAGACTGACGTTTCGGCTATATCGCCTTCTTCAACGTCTGAAATGGGCGACAACAACCCATAAACTACCCGACCAAGCATCTCGTCAGCCTCACAAGCAAAATTCTAAACTTTCTTTCAAATGACAAGCAAGCCGCGATACGTAATACTCACCTTTTCGATCGTCGGTAAAATTCTTAAGCATAAATGAGCGCTGACTGATCGCGTGAGTGGATGATTAAACATGTCTTCACACCGGATCAGAAATTCTGACCTAGATGTTGCGAGTTCGCGAGTAATAGAAAGGCACTCTTTCTTGCAATTCATTTTAGGGTGTTTAAAATGAATTCAGAACGCTTCCAATGTTTGCGAGTAGATGTTTGACGTTCACGCGCAAGGATTTCTACATTCACTTCAAAATTCACTCCTTGATGCTCTTGCAATCTGTGGGCGCCTAGTAGATTGGATGGGCGTGATCTTTCCTTGTTGAGATGTTCTTTGATGCGTACGCATAGTGGACGCGCTGTTTTCCTGATATACTCGTCACCGCAATTTGCATGAGATAAGGTAGGCAACCCCTGCACTCCCATCATTTGGTGGGACATATCAGACGGTTTGGCGTGGTGCAACTGCGGTCGTACATGCAATTCCAAACAAGAATGCGCTTCAAATTGTTCGAGGGCATGTACCAAGACTGAATTGACACAATCGACAACAATCAACAAATTGGATTGTTGTTGCCCATTTCAGGCTCTGAAGAAAGCGACATAGCCGAAACTTAGCCTAATAAATATTGTTACCAATTTCGAAAAAGGAAGGGTTTGGCAAATAATGCCAATCTTTCATAAAATATGCTTAACTCCGACAAAAATTTATTTTGATTGTTAGTGAATTGTGGACTTAAGCCAACAAAGAACTTTCGAATCCGCGTTCAATGGTCTTTGACTGTTCGAGGTACCATCCATGGCCATCGCTGCCGAAGATTTTAGACGTCGTACAATTGCCATGATTTCCTGAATTATAATGTTATTTTATCTAAATTCAAAACCTTTTATCTGAAGCTTTATCATCTTCAAGTTGAGAGAGGGGATGTAATTCTGCGTTGGATTACAACACTCCATTTATGAAGGTTGTCAAAAACTAAAATGCCTCCTATCACAAACGTCGGTGAAAATATGCGTTTTATGCAATGCACTAAACCATGAAAACTTTCCATTAGACCTTGACCATTGAATTGAGCAGGAGGCCTACCCACAAAATAGCTGATCGCACCGTCATCCGATGATCCTGCGAGAGTCGTGATTTTCTACTGGTAATGTTGTTATCTATATCCTCCCGAAGCAGCTAGCGTAAATGGTATTGGAGATTTCACGAGTTGCGAAATAGCGTCTCATGCATAACTGGTTCCAGCATGATCTAGGAACGGCTGTCACCTTCTTATGCTCGATGATCCCTTTTTAAATGAGCATTTGTTTCCCTTCACAATTTCTTATTTGGTAGACAGCCAATTGCCATTAGCCATTTGCCATTTGTCCTTTGAATCAAGACATTCACTTGCAATTTTTCATTTCAAAAAAATGCGTGCTCAAGGTAGCAATTTCAATCGTGACTTCTGAATTTTCTTTGTTAATCGAAGATTGGTGCATCTTTTTCATTTCTATTAGGGCGTGTTTTTGAAATTCTGCTCATTTCAACTGCAAAATGCAACTCTTCAAATTCTGGATTGGATTCAAGTCACTATTCCAGAAGCAAGCTTTACGAGGCGGTTTCCAAACATCCGCTCAAAGTCCATTCTCACAAAATCACAAGCCAGAGTCTGGAATCCTTATTTTAAAGGTATTTCGCGAATTTTTTACCTGCTCACGCATATACTCTCACATCAGACATACATGAGGTTGGCGCGAAAGGTCATTCATAAAGTTTATGCGTGATTCAATAATCTTCAAGTTCTAACTTTGATCTATGACTCTGTAACTAAAAATAAAAGAGGTTGGCGCTTTACAACAGATGTTCAAACGCAAAGTTTTCTCAGTTAGCTTTCGAGTATATTTGGGTCCGAATCAAATAAAAGTTTGATCATTCGAAGAAAACATTCGAATATATTCGCATTCGAAATTCGGTGTTCTGGGTTTCTCTTTTTTCGAATAAATCGAAACTAGCAGTCAAAAAACGGGATTTTGAATGAAATTCGAAACTGGAATAATCAAAAACGGGTCCCAACATAGGAAAAGGATTGTAGGTAATTGGAAACTGAATAACAAAAACGAGGTATCAGATAAAATTCGAAAACTCGAGTGATCAAAACGGCATTTCGAATAGATTTCCTTTGAATGTTTTGTCCGAATGTTTTATTCGAATTTGTATTCGAATAAAATCCGTATTTCATTTAACCGAGTTTGTTGCAGAGCCAACTGCTGAGTATCAACTCGCTTCGGCTGCGTTTTCTTCTCGCAAATCTCGATAATGCACCTTTTTGCAGCCGTGATCGGCTTTGAACTGTACGGAAACTTGCACTCCTCTAACTGCTTGCGACATTAAAAAATGATGCGGGTTTTGATTGATTGCTTGCTCTGTTAATGAGATAGTTCGCGCTGCTATTGGCACCAATTCTTTAACAAAATCTAATGATATTAAGTTCATTCAGTCCAAATTTATATACCGAAAGATGTTGGCATGCCTTTCTTTGCGTTGTTCATGCTTCTGGTCCGCAAAAGTCCGCATTAGTGGGCACTCTTGCTTGTAAACTCACGTTGCACAAATGCCTCTATTCTTTATCTTAGAGATTCTCCGCGAATGACAGTATATTTTGAGTAAAGGACATTGCAACTGTAGTGGAGGACCAGACGGTTGCTATTTTCCAGTTACATCATATTGCAGTGAAGTTTTGTTTTCAGTAGAGTACATGGTAGTTTTGTTATCACAATGCACTCAAGATTTGTTTGCTGGTTTGAATGTCAATCTTTGAAAATTTGAGCTACAAGGCTGGGAGTGATACGGGATATCTGAGGGTTCTGGTTATGAATAAAAAGTACTTTGTAATTTTATCGATTTTTGGAAAACTTGGAGCTATGGGGCTGGGAGTTGGTACAAAGAGTTAGATAAGGATGCTCATTTTGAAACACTACTTTATCGAGTAAATCGATGGACAGTTTTGAGCTGTGGAGCTGGAAGTTGGTACGGAGTAGGTGAGAGTGCTGGTTATAAATGAAATAAATAAAATAGATGTGAGAGTGCTGTACAAATGAAATAAATAAAGGCCTTTAACCGGTTAATTCAGCAAGTTCGATAGGGTTGCTCTGTATATTTGATAAATCATTCAAATATTCGTTCGAAGTTTGACTCACGATCTCGAGTATATTGCGATAATCATTCATTCGATATTTTAATCTTTCGAATTATTCGGAAATCGTTCATCTGAAAATTTTGAATCTCGGATTTTTGCGATATTCGTTTATTCGTTAAAAAAATCTAGACTTTCCTTAGTATACTTCGAATATTCCAAGTTTCGCAATGTCTACGAATATTATACCATTGCTGAGCGACCTTAAAAGAAACTATCAAAATTTCTAGCTGTGGCTGGCTTTAGTCTCGCATGATGCAGAACAGAATCGTTAAAATGCCATTTCACATAAAAAATTTTCACTACAGTTTTCCACAAAACTTTCGCAGTGCTTTAGATCTTCATGTAACATTGGAGCCTTCTGCAGTGATGAATGACTGATTTGTGCAGGAAAAATTCACGATTTGAGGCTAGCTGGTGGCACTGTAGATTTTTCGCGACCACACTAACAATTACGAAAATTGTGGTGCCGTCTCGAAAGTTTATTTCTTCAGGGTTAAGACGGAAAAGGTGAATATGGGTGTGATTTTTGTATAGCGCAAACCTTTCCTTTTTTGAGTAATGAACTATAAATAAGAAAGTTATCAAACTTTTTTTAAATACAACATCGAACATTTGCAGTAACTATCACAATCAGTTGCTATATACTTTTGGCCTAAATTAAGGAAAGAAACTTATGCCAGGAAAATATTTTATAGAGCTAACACCTGTACAAGGCTAAAAATTCATGATTGCAAATCAAAGTGTTAATTGAGAAATTACCCAAGTGAAAAGTCTCGGATGGCATTGGAACAAAATAACCCTATACGGGCTCAAATCTGCGTGAAAATTTCAACAGAAAGTTCGTCAAAAGCAACGCCAATCTTCCAGCTTCTGGCGGAAGATTGAATAGTCAACAAAGGACGGCACACGCTCGTTTGGCGTGGCGCGGCGAGAAAAGAAACCTGGTGCAAGCCGGAAGCGAAGCGGCGCCTCAACAATCCACGTCATGTTGAGCTGAAAGGATACGACAGAAAAGACCAATAACTGAAAACGACTATACTTTTTGAAAGGTTATTGAGCAGCTTAGGAACACGGATCTGATAATAGTGCCGTGTCCCCAAAACTAGCAGAAGATTTGCATTACACGTGAAAATCCCCTTCGACGGAGGGGATTTTCCGTAAGACGAAATTAGCTGGAAAAGAGTACTGGGAAGAATGGGACACGCTCAAGCTTTCTTGAGTGAAGGAAAAAAAACGAAGGCGAATCACGTTTTTGTTCTGAAAGTAAAAAATGAATCAGAGCGAGTCACTTGCGCTAGGAACACGTCTTGACATATCAAATGTGGAGCACACAAGGTAAAAGTATGCAGAATCAAAAGAAATGAACAATGATTAAGAAAGGTGGTTGCAGCAGTCAATTGCAAAAGTCTTTTGATTCATGTTTTTTGACGCAAAAACGTGAAGGACAGCGTATAATTATTCCGTTGCTTGCAAGCATAGGGCTCTTAAAGAAAAAACGACGTAAATAAAATGCACTGTAGCAAACACCTGATAACATCAGCGAGCCGAAGAACAACTGCAGGGAATGAAGGGACCTTTGAAAAGTTTTGTTGAAGCTGCATTGAATTCAATTAGGTATAATTGTTGTTTGGCCACTAAGACAAAAATGGGCAAAACTTTCAGTATCAAGAAAGAACTGAATGTAATTTTCGAGAAACATGCATACCACTTTGGGTTGGGCCAGAGTGCGCGGCGTAAGCAGCGTATGACCTAAACCCTTGAGCCCTGGCCATATGTGCAGCCATTTCATCGTCGCGATTCCGCCTCTAGGGAATTTCATGATCAGAGCGACGAAATCAGAATATCAAATCGATGGGGGTTTTGGGCATACTTACTTGTTAGCGATAAAGTAAAAACACAACCTCAGCACTTGTTCTACGTTTTCTTCCGGCATCCAAAAGCAGTATTCAGAGTGATTTCTCTACATTTGCAGCGATACGTTCAACATCAACAATTCATATTAGTTTCTCGCGCATTTGCATCTATCGATCAACTTCCATTAGATTTAGGATGCAAAGCCAGTTTTCTCAAATTGTAGCTGTGGTTTATACCTTGCTAATTTTTTCGCGATATTCATATTTTAGATACTACACATGTTTTTCAACCATGAGTTTCAAACAATTGAAAATACCCATTTCAACTGATGGCACGAATCAGATGGGACGCGCATCACGAATAAAATGTAACTTAGGAAATCAAAAAAAAAACGAAAGAGAAAAGAACCGTTCCAAAAACATCAAAAAATTTCAGTCTTAGCGATATCATCCCGACGCTGATCTGAACTGGCGACGCGATATCGCAAGATTTAGTTCAATCCGTGCCGATATCGGTGGATCAGGTATGGCCCAAACACGGTCAGCAATCCGTCGCGCCGGACAGCTAGCACGACCTACATGCATGATCTGCCGGCATGCATAGAGCTTACGACAGTTGTTCTATTGCACAAATATACAATGAACGTGCGCTACTTACAGCGCACGCCGCTTACGCTGCGCAGTCTGGGTCGATCCTTTAATACCGAATCAGTTTCTTCAAAGGCAGTTTCCGGCAGGGGTGATGGCGCTAGTGTTTATGGTTTCCAAAAAAGCGTGCCACGAGTACTATCACAAGCGTGGTATATGTTCGAAACTATGACTTTAAATTGTCTCCCGCAGGAAATCCTGATTTGGATCAGAGAATATGGGTCTAACACTTGGTTTTCTCTTAGGGGTCTTGATTTCCTCTCAAAACTGTTTGTACGGGTAACCATTCATTATGTAGCAACATCTGGTCTTGCGGGGATCGAAGAATGCTTGAGACGACCTTTAGAGTTTTTTTTTTGCACTGTTGGGTTTATCCATAATACAACTCTAAACTCTTTAGATTCGCTTATGTCACTAAAATCAGTGGTTTAAAGTTCACGTTAATCGTGTTTCATCCACAGAATACCTGTTTGATTTAGATGTTGAGATCTGTGCTTAGATCACAGTATAAAGCTACGCTTTATGCTGACGTGACTGACCATTATACGCTATGCAGCTCACAAACTATAGTTTTTGTACTGATTTGATCTATATTAGGTCGGACAGGATGGAGACGATGGGGCAGAGCTGGCCGAGAGGTTAGTGCCTTTGACTACGGCGAGGAAGGACACATTCGGTCCCGCGGCGGGCCCAATTTCTTTGGCAAAAAGCTCTGCCCACGAAACCAGCGTCAGGCTGCAGATCCAAAGGAAAGCAAGCGACAAGCCCGCTGAAGAAGAAACCCCGTCGCATCACAATGCTCTTTTATGTCTCATCAATATTCTCGAGTAAAAGCTAGGGCGTTCCCCGGAAACGACGCGCATTTGAGCCTGACAGATGCGAACAGTAAGCGAGGGTTACCTTCCCAACAAGATGAGCGGGGACGGCTGAAGAAGCTAGCTCATCATGGAAACAATCAACAATCCAAGTTCTCTCCTCTTCGATTGGCCACTGTCAACGTCGGATCTCTTACAGGGCGACATCGAGAACTGGCGGATCTTCTTGGAAGACGTAGAGTAGACGTCGCCTGCATCCAGGAGACCAGATGAAAGGGTGAGAAGTCACGCGATATAGGAGACGGCTTCAAGCTTCTATATAAAGGAACAAGCAGCAAAAGAAACGGCGTCGAGATAGTCATCTCCGAACGGTTAAGAGATAGTATAACAAGTGTAGATCGATTGAGTGACCGGCTCATGGGCATCACATTAGATGTGGGTGAGCGAGTTCTTCGAGTAGTCACCGCATACGCACCCCAAGAAGGTTGCACGGTAGAAGAGAAAGACGGCTTCTGGCAAGAACTAGATGACTTCATCAGATGTGTATCTTCAGAAGAAACGCTACTGATTGGAGCAGATCTTAACGGCCATGTCGGTGAACAGCGAAGTGGTGCGAGTAGAAGTCACGGAAATCACGGGTATGGGATCCGCAACAAAGAAGGCGATCGAATTCTGATGTTCGCTTCCGCTCATGAATTGGCGTTGGCAAACACCTACTTCATCAAGAAGAGCGATCACCTAATAACGTATACCAGCGGAAATCGAAAATCGGAAATAGACTTCTGGGCGTTACGACTAAAGGAGCTCAAGTACGTAAAGAACTGCAAAGTGATCCCTAGCGAAGAATGTGTACCACAACATCGACCACTGATTCTAGATCTTAATATCCCAGTCAAGAATCGAAGAAAGGCAATGACAAAGGACAGAATACGCATCAAGTGGTGGAAGCTCAAAGACGACGCTCGATCCAAAGCTGCTATGGAATCAGCCCTACCACTCCTAGAAAACGAACCGGAGCGTTCCTGGACGAATCTGAAGAAGAACGTTCATCAGATGGCAGGAAACCTGCTGGGATTTATGAAACCAGGAAGGCCAAGACTTGACAAAGAAACTTGGTGGTGGAATGAGGATGTTCAAGTTGTGATCAAGACTAAGAAGCTCGCATACCAGCTGTGGCAGAAGATAAGATTAGAAGACGATCATCAGAAATATGTAGACGCAAAACTGCAGCAAAGAAGAGCGTAATAAAAGCGAAGGAAGCGTACATAGCAGACTACAAGAAGCTGTACACTCGAGAAGGCGAACGTGATATCTACCGAATCACAAGGAGAAGAACAAGAGCCACAGAAAATACAAGCCACTTCTACAACATCAAAGACGAGTACGGAAGAATTCTAAGAAGTCCAGAAAAGATAAGCGAACGATGGAGAGCACACTTCGAGAGAATAGCATCTACAAGCTACCAAATGTCATCTACCATAGTAGCTGAAACGGTACAAGGACCGGTAGAAAACAACACAGAAGATGAAGTTCGCGCAGCCATAGCGAAGACGAAGAACGGTAAAACAGAGACAAGCCCAAACGACATTCCCATCGAATTCTGGAAGAGGTGCGGACAAGCTAAAATCACTTGGCTAACACAGCTTCTCAATCGGATGATCGAATTCAAAAAGATGCCGCGCGATTGGTCCAGAAGCACAACGATTCCAGTATGGAAGAAGAAAGGAGACATAGCCGATTGCTCCACATATCGTCCCATATGTCTAACGAGTCACACGCTGAAGATCTTCGAACGAATGAAACGAGACTCCGAAGCATCATAGAACTAGCTCCCAATCAGTGTGGATTCGTGAAGGGCTGTAGCAGAACAGACGCCATCCATACCGCCAGAATAATGATAGAAAGAAGCAGGGAGAAGCAATGTGAACTACATGCGGCGTTCCTTGACCTGGAGAAAGCGTTCGACAAGGTACCACACGACATCATATGGTGGGCACTACGAAAGCACAAGGTGCCAGAAGAGTACGTGCAATGGACGAAGATGATCTACAAGAATGCTACCAGCCACGTACAGACAGCAGCGGGACCGACGAAAGAATTCCATATACGAGCCGGCGTACACTAAGGCTCTGTACTCTCACCGCTCCTGTTCAACACAGTCATGGATGCAGTGGTCGACGGCTTCATACGACAACCACCATGGACGCTCATGTACGCAGACGATGTTCTCCTACTGGCAAGAAGCAGAAGAGAGCTCCAGATGGAAGTGCAGAAGTGGAAGGATCAGCTTGAGATGCATGGACTGAAGCTGAACACGACGAAAACGGAGTATATGGAACTGGGAACACAGACACCCGGGACAATCCAGATCGGAGGCACGCAACCTAAGAAGACCACTTCCTTCAAGTACCTGGGAAGCCGTATCTCCGCAGATGGCAACCTCCGCGATGAGATAAGCAGTAGAGTGAACGCAGCGTGGATGAAGTGGAGAAGTATTACAGGAGTCCTATGTGATAAGCGGATGCCAAGAAAGCTGAAGTCCCTAATATATCGCACGATAGTTCAACCAACGGCCCTATACGGAAGCGAATGCTGGCCATGTACACGTGACGAAGAGAGAATGATCAGTGTAATGGAAACACGAATGCTGAGATGGACCACAGGAGTGACGAAGCTAGACCATGTCCCGAATGACACTATACGAAGCGCAATGAAAGTGAAACCCATTGTAAAGAAGATGCAAGAAAGACGTCTACAGTGGTATGTGAGCACATGTGAGCCGAAGAGAAGAAAACCACATTACGAGATTGGCCATGTCAGTGGAAGTGCCAGGGAAGAGGCCAAGAGGAAGACTGAGATGAGATGGCTGGATAAAGTCAAAGCAGATATGAGAGAGCTTGGTATAAGAGAAGAGCAGGCTTTAAACCGAGAAGAATGGAAAAGATTGACAAGAGCGGCAGACCCTAAGTGACGGGAGAATGCAAGGATTAAAAAAAGGATGGAGATGATGCCGAGGTTGGCAAAGATGGCTTATAAGCAAGCTGAATATCGTTTTTGTCTCCAATTTGTTCGGTCCGTTTGTGTATGTATGCCTCTCTATTTGCATGATATAAAAAGAAATTCTATAGTAGTTGAAATAAGCCAAACTTTGCGTGTGCTCTTCAGGTCAATAACGGTGTCGCAATCACTCTTCTTACCAAGGTTTGACTTGCTGGTATTTTTTTTAGATGTTTGCATGTGTCTCCCGCTTATGCATGATCTTGTTTCTTGTCAAGTGCCCTATGCTTCTAGCAAGGCTTACCTTGCAATGTGACTTTTCTCTATCTGTCACAATGCCCACGACATCGTACCCTGTTTTCCTGTATTTCCTGGGCAATTTTTGCTGCTTTCGTTGGGCTGTACAGTGGCACTGCAGAGTAGTCTTTCAAGGAGCTGTATGTATGCTTAGGAGCTTACGCTCCTCGTTACGCGTAAACGGCCAGCACTTACTCTCATACGGTGCTGGCAATACAGTCGAGACTTGAGTCGCACTTGCATTCTTTCGTAGCAAACTCCTCTCAAAGCTCTCAAGTTTATCCACGCTCTGTTCATCTTGTCCATAACTTTTTTTTGCAGAACCTCATTCCACTGGAATGTATTTGCCTAAGTAATTGCATCAGGTTGCCTTTTTGGGTTCCTTCATATAAGGCCGCAAGACGCGGCATGCTGTGGCGCACGCTGCGGGACACAGCAGCCTGTCGCAGCACGCGGCGTGCGCCGCTGCAGTCGCAGTGAAAGTATAAAGTCGCTTGCTGAGAAGGTACCTCTCGGAAAACTCGAATGTGCAGCAAATATAGATGTACATCCATAACCGACGAAGCTGTGCTGCCGTGAGCGTATATTTTCACTGCGACTTCAGCGGGGCACGTCGCATGATGCGGCGTGCTGCGGCAGGCTGCTGCGTCCTGCGGCGTAGTGTGAACGGACCCTTGGCTCTTTACATCAATGTTTATGGAACCTATAGTTTGTTCCCTCATTTCCATATACACTCTGCCTTTGTCGGTGAACTTCAAGTTACCTCAAGCCTGTTTTTAGTTTTGTACCGTAACCCCTTTACTGCTGTAAAAACCACACTATCTGCGTAGAGAAGTGTCCAAGGAAGTTTACCTTTGATTGATTTCATCGCGACATTTATGGCAGTGATGAGGAAAGCGAAATAGAACTAAACCTCAACTCCAAGCTTATTTTGGAACTCTTTTGATTGCCGTGTAGCTGCTCGTACGTGATTCAAAGCGTTGTGGTATCACAATTTCACCCTCTAGCACCATGTGTTTTCCAAAAGCCCGCCGTATGACTCTAAACCCTATCAAAGGCTTTCTTCAGGTTCAAGAAACCTGCATGCAATTTCTCCTGCTTCTTTCCGCATTTCTCTATCACTATCGAATAGACGGCATCTGTCTCCTACCCTATTCCTTTCATAGACGCGCACTGATTCGGTGACAACCTTATGATATTTAAAGCCGCTTTCGTACGCGCTTGAGATTTTTCAGATTTGTGTGCCACTCGGATTGGTTGATAGGTTGCCCAGTCTGCTGTGTCTCCTTTCTTCCATATCAAAGAATTTGTATTTACCAATCGCGAGGCTCTTGCTTCATAAAATTTTATTAAGGAGGCTTGTCGATCACGATGCTTTGGATTGTTCAAACTCTCCAGAACTTGCTTGGCATTCGTCTAGGTCGCATGCTCTGCCATTCTTCTTGCAAATGACCAAATATCTCTTCCTTACTGCTGGTACTGACCCTTTCATGGCGTCAATTTCTGGGATATAGTTGACGGTGCGGCTTGTGGTGGCTATTACTTGTGTTAGGAAGGAAGTACTCCAGATTTTTTGTAGACTAAACCCTTTCTGTCAGGAATATTTCACGCTCTGCCTCGCGAGACTTCGAATTTCATAAAACTCTTTTTTGTACAGCTGCTATTTCTTCTTTACGGAAACCTTCGCAACGTGTTTTGCTCCCTGATACGTCTGATTGTCGTCCTTCGTGTAATGCCATTATTTGTACGTTCCCTTTTGTCCCTTATGAATCTTGGCATCTAACAATCAGCCACAATGTTTTTCGATTGAACCTTTTTTCCTACATTGTAGCTTTTACCTCCCAGAATCATGTGAGCGGCTTGGTGGACACAATCTTTTACACTTCTTCAAGATCGACTTGAATTCTTGTTTAGAAAACTTATTAGTATTGCTTTCTTCGCCGCGGTATCAATCTTCATTCTCCATCATTTGCGCATTCTGGCTCTGTGGCTCCCCTGATGTGCCTACTTATTGAGGTACTAGCAGTAGTCTGTTGGGGTATATGCATTTTTTGACATTCACAGGCAATAAAGGCCAAGACTTGTAATAGACTTAAAGTTATGGTTATTTTTAAAAACGTGACGACGAGTTTGACTGCGGTCTTTGCGCACAAATGAGCATAAAACACCCATACAAACAGGCATCACCTCAAAGTTCAGCTCAGTCATCCAGTGTCTAAATACTATCATATGGAAGCAGAAAAACCATTCGAGTAGAGATAGAAACCAAGAAATGGAAGTGCGTGCGCGTCGCGTGCGGTCGCGCCATCTTCACGATTTTTCAAATGCTCTATACTGTATCTATAAGTGGTAAATGCCTAGAAAACTATAGACGAGATCAACTTCACTTTTTAAGGGTATAACTTGTAGTCGTACTCATCAGCATAGCTTGAGTAAAATATACCTTGAAAGCGCATACCCGATTCACAAGGTAAGCTCAATCAAATGCTAATGAATTATAGAGTGGCACAAATTAAGCTGTTAGTATAAAACGCTGTATAACCTTCAGCAACGCTCAAATCATGAGAGAACTTAGCTTGAACTTACATGAAGTATTCTTTTCGACGCTTGTAATACACTTTCGGTCGGGTATCTTTGAAGTAATAAACAGCACTTTGATCTTTCGCAAAGAAAGCAAGCCACCAGCCAAATGTTGAAACAGGTGCAGATATCAAAAAAGATCGACAGATTTGGGATGACAAATACAGGTCCATAGCCTCTTGATAATTCGAAACAATCACAGCCTAAGAAGCATATGCCGTTCAAACTAACAATGACCGTAGAACGGCCAGTTAACTCACATCGTTCTTCCATCCACCATCTCTTATGATAAGTTGAGACATATTGATCATGACTTGCTGATCATCTCCAAAAAGCAAAAAATGTGACATATTCTAAAAGAGTAAACAATACCACGCTTAGAAATTTTGTGAAAGTCCGCGACATTTCAGGAATTTCGCAGAATCCACGCAAGTCACGCGAACTACGCGAACTACGCGGTGCCACAACTTCCTTCAGAATGCATATATTCTAAATCCAAAAAGAGCATTGTGTTCAGCTCGTTAAGGCGAATTTTTTGGTCTACAGTATGTCCTCCATATTCCATTTCCAGTTTTCTCAATTTCTTGTGTTGAGGTCTGCTTGGGGATGTAACATAGCGCCTACCTAAGGCCTAAGGCATAGCTCCCGCGATCCCAGTAGCGTTGCAAATTCCAACTCGGGCATATGTTGCGAGTCCGCAGCGCAGGAGCCTCCAATCTGGTCCCGCCGCGTCTGTGTCAGATTGACGCTGCGACGGATCGCGGGCCGTTTTTGGACTGGCATACAGTGACCGCCAAAAAGTTGTGGACAAGCCGCCTTCCTTTTTTCATCGCTCATTTTCGGATAGAAAACGAAGATAAAAAAATGATTGGATTGCATATGCTGATAGAGCTCACCAAGAGCTACAACCCACACATTGCGCTTTCTGGAAAACATATATTATAAAAGTTTTAAAAATTTTTTCCTAAAAAAAGTCCGAAAATGGCCGCGTCACAATGTTCGGACAATAATTCTTCGAACGCGAAAATTTTGCTTTAGGTTTTTGTTTCGAGCAACAACAGAACTTTTGCGGACAAGTAGGCATACTATGTCATAGAGCTCATCGATTACAATAATCGGGTAATGGTTTCTTCCAAAAAACCAAGCTTGAATTTGTTTCGCTTTTTTTCAAAAAATAATTTTTATTCCCTTCTTCAAGCCAGATTTCCCTAATTGAAACCTATTCAAGGCATTCCAACAAGGCCATTCGGATAAAATGGATGCCCTTTGCCATCCTCTATGCATTGGACATGTGCAGGTGTGTTACTTTGCTGGAAATCGCTCTTGACAGTGCGTGCACATGACCCCACCTGCACCTCACCGCTGACTTGCACCGGTTTGCAGGCTTGTATTTCGGCCGGTTGTCATTCCGCAAGTCTGCAAGGTAGCCTCATTCGAAAGAGCGTGGATTCCCCTACATGATGGTGTGCAAAAGAGTTGAGTATGTGAAACAGCAGAGATTTGGCGGATGGGGTGACAAAGCGCAGCCTCAGTGGTAGGCTAAGGATTTTTCACCTAAAGTTGAGCAAAGCTTCTTTCGCCACCAGTTCCATCCCGGAAGTTCAAAACCGTCAATTTTCTTATAATAGATCCATTTCGGAGCTCTAAGACCGTTCTAGTGTTGATAAGACCCTTCACTCCATCCACCTCTGAGGCTGCGCTTTCACCCCATCCGCCAAATCTCTGCTGTTTCACATACTCAACTCTTTTGCACACCACCATGTAGGGGAATCCACGCTCTTTCAAATGAGCCTATTTGCAGGCTCGCGGAATGACTGCCGGCAGAGATACAAGCCTGCAAACCGGTGCAAGTCACTGGTGAGGTGCAGGTGGGGTCATGTGCACGCACTGTCAAGAGCGATTTCCAGCAAAGGAACAAACCTGCACACGTCCAATGCATAGAGGATGGCAAGGGGCATCCATTTTATCCGAATGGCCTTGTTGGAATGCCTTGAATAGGTTTCCATGTTAGGGAAATCTGGCTTGAAGAAGGGAATTAAAAATTATTTTTTGAAAAAAAGCAAAACAAATTCAAGCTTGGGTTTTTTTGGAAGGAACCATTACCCGATTATTGTACTCGATAAGCTCTATGACATGTGTGGGTGTGGGTTGCAGTGTGTGGGTTGCAGCTCTTGGTGAGCTCTATCACCACATGCAATCCAATCATTTTTTTATCTTCGTTTTCTATCCGAAAATGAGCGATGAAAAAAGGAAGGCAGCTTGTCCTCAACTTTTTGGCGGTCACTGTACCTCAACAGAGAAATCGTCGCGACATCGCTGAATCTCCGCGATGTCGCCGTCATAGTTTCGACCCAGCATGAGCGAATCGCCAACAGCTTCTTTGTTATAAAGTTTTGTATTTTTTTTGCAAATGCAAATTTCATTTAGGACTATTCGACCTCTCACAAGCGCTTCCTCTCTGCATGAGAAAAGGTAGGCTCTCGAACATTCCATACAATTAATCTTTGAAAACGACACACGCCACTTATATAGTATGGAATGCTTCTCATATGTCACCTCCCCTCTGTGTTACCTTCTGCTGTTCTCGCAATGCACTAATCTTTTCCTGTTCCTTTTTTATAGACAAATGGTGACCGAATCTCAAATTTTCTTGCTTAATCTCTGAAGCAGTTTAGTTGTGCATTGTCGGTTGCTAGGGCATACACTATCCGTTCGCAGATTGGCAGACATGAGCTCGCGCAGCACTCATTGTTGAAATAATCTACCCAGAGTTTTTTACAAGGCCGAACGCATGATTTTACTGCTGCAAAACTGACGTATATGCCTACCAGTAACTGAAAAAGAACACAACTTTATGAACTAGCTGTCGATCTCATTGCAGATGTAACTATGCCCACGAATCAAACGACGAGCGATTTTCGAGCTGTAACGGTCGCCCCGGAGGTGCGGGAATTTATTCACTCAGAGAGGTATGCCGCCATGTAATTAGCAGGAGACATGAAAGGTCATGAATTGTCAGCAACGCTAATTTGCACCCACTTTGCACCGAAGACAAGCAGATTTTGCTCACGACAGATACGACACCATCCTACAGTGTACGAAACCGAGATTTCATTGAAATTTGAATTGAAGTTCAGTAGTGAAATTAGTCCAACTAGGGTAAAAATTTGTACTTAGGGGTAATCGGCCATGCTGCTTCCAAATATGATGGTTGTTTTGCGTGAAAAATTAAAATTTTTCATTTTGAATCTTTGAATCTTTTAATCTTGTTTTCAAACTCTGGCAAAAAGCTCAAAATTGTCATTTGAGGGTTTTCCAAGATGCTGTTTTTGAATATGCTAATGTTTTCGCCGGAAACTTCGAAAACTTCTTCTTTCGAAATTTTGACTTTTTCATAAATTTCATTGCAACTTTGATAAAACTGGAAAACAAATGAAAAAAGAATGCTACTTTCAGAAAGACTAGAAAAAAATTGATTTAAACTGAATAACGAAATAAAATTTAAATTAAGGTAAGAAAAAAATCAATAAAGCTGAAACTAAGTTTGAAGGATTGGGAAAGATTCCCAGCTATCATTGAGATCTGTGTGTTATTAAATTATTCTAAACACTACATTCAATTTCCTTAAAGAGCAGCTACTGAATTATCACTTAATTCTTAAAAAATGATAAAACATTTGCTTTTATCAGCATTGATAGACATGGCTGCAACGCACGTGGCTTGAGAATATCTTCAAAGACAGACACAATGATGGACGACGGGTGTATGCCAAGATGAACGATAGCTGGCAATTAAGCATACTGTACTCTTGCGGTTGTCAATATGTCGCACATAAAGTCTTATTTTTTGAAGCTATATGTTCTAAACAGGATTGAAAATGGTGTCGAACAGTAAGAATTAGGGCATACAGAGCTTCCAGCGTTTTTCCAAGTTTCGAGGTATCAATACAGCGTATATATGGAATTTGAAAAAGATTTGACTTACGCAGAGCATATGGCTGGCACAACCTATCGTTCATGTTGGCTGCCCCCCCCCCCCCCCCAGAGCCGACGAGTACGCCCAGAGCAATGCAATGACCAAAATTGCCTATGGGAATGAAAGGCCGAAAAAAAAGTTTAAGACTAAAATTTTCCTGTAAATAGGAAAAAAATTGTCAGACAGAACGCTTATTGTATATTCGATACTCTCATCATGTCTTTTGATGGCCTCTATGATTTTGACGCTCTTTTAAACGTTCTGCAGCAATTGGTGCAGCAATTTTGTACAACGGTGGATCGGGTGAGGGAACTTAGGAACCCGAGCCTAATTAGCCCGACCCGGGAAGTGCTTGCAGGATACAGTCATGCTCGCTATCTACGATTGCTTCCCAGGGTAAAGAGACAATTTAAGCCCCGCGCCCCTAAGAGCCTGTTTTGGAACCCGGCCAAGGAATGCTAGGAAATCCCAATTGGGCTTCATGTCACTGAAATGTCACTGAAACTGACTCTTAGCCAAAAAACCTTCAAAATGGTCGTACGAAGGTGAATCCAGGTTCAAACAAAAGAGAATAACCGTGCCGTTATTATAACGTATCTACTGATTGAAACTAATCATGGGGATCTCAGGTAAATAAAGGCAAATGTCGATTTTCAAATTCAGGCACTCAAAAATGATTTCTAGCCATTATTTCTTCTAATGATACTGACATAGACATATAAAATATAAGCACTTCTCATGCACATTCAATCATCAATCAACTGACGTGACCGACATGGCCCTCTGCCTCTGGACATGCTTGCGGCTGTTCGCACCAATCTCTTCAATCCAAACTTGATCACTATTATCAACACTTGCGAAAAGTTGTTTACAAAGAACACAAAAAAATTTAGACAAGATTGCTGAAAATTCTGCATTCGGTGCTCCCAGAACTTAATTTGGAAAAAGGATTTGAAGATTTTGTACTAAACCGTTATCATATTCGTAAAGAGCGCCCTTAGAAACCCCCAAATCCAAATTTTTATTCTGATTTGCCAAATATCGCCACTGAACATTAATTTTAATCCCATCACGAAGCTCGATTTCATTTTGATGCAAAACCACCATCATATTTGAAACCAGCAAGGCAGATTACCCCTAAATACAAATTACCCTAGTTGGACTGATTTCACTACTGAACATTGAATTCAAATTTTAATGAAATCCCGGTTTCGTACATTGTAGGATGGTGTCGTATCTGTCGTGAGCAAAATCTGCTTGCCTTCGGTGCAAAGTGAGTGCAAATTAGCGTTGCTGACGGTTCATGACCTCTCATGTCCCCTGCTAATTACATGGCGGTATACCTCCCTCCTCGGGAGATAAATTCCGTCTCTTCGCCCCGGCACTCTAGTCGCAGCGATCGGAAATCGTAACGAGGGATGGCTGGAGGTATGCCTTAGGCTTAACATAAAAAATACCAATACAGTCGAGTAGATTTTCCGCTTAATATAGTGTGCTCGTACTGAAGGTGAAATGCGGTAAAATTTGCGCGTGAACAAGTAGCCACCACAGTAATGCCAGTCTTTTGCGCGCGCAGTTGGCCGGCATCACGGGCACAGCTATCTGTTCACGCGCAAATTTTACCGCATTTCACCTTCAGTCTATTCGACCGTAAGAACTATTCGATAGTACTGTTCTTGCAAATTATAGCGCACTAAGTATAGCCACAGACTTCTTTCCAAAAGAACTATAAGCGTTGGTCTGTGTCTATGTCATGTCTCGGGCTCCAATCTGTGAATCGCCAAGCTATGAGCCTACAAAAACACGTCCTCAAGAGTTTTGCTCAAAATGTAAGAATCGCACACTTCGTCGAAGTTTTACCGTGAGTGGTTGTATAACATACTGATCAAATCCGTTCACATTGCTTAATAAATCTTACTGTGTTAAATTTTTTGATTTGGTAGATCTAAGCTCTAGCTACGAAGTGCTTTGATATTTAATCAAGCAGCTGAAGAGCACGCAACAACTATATTCAATACATTGGCACCCCCTTGAGCGAAGTGAATATAGTATTTTAAACCAGAATGTTATATGACCACTCATGGTGGAATTCGACCAAGTGTACGATTTTTACATTTTGAGCAAAACTCTGAGGAGGTTTTTTGTAGGCTTGCAACTCGGCGATGGGTGGAGGAACGAACACCTCAATAGGCGCCGCCTCCGCGGACTACTGGTCCCAACAAGATACACAACAGCAGGACGAAAAGGACCAGCAGCTCGCGGAGGCGGTGCCTAAATGAGGTGTTCGTGCCTCTACCCCTCGGCGATTCATAACTGGAGTCTAAGACATGAACCTTGATGGCATAGTTCCTACTATCTTTGAAATATAAAAGCAAACAGCAAGTTCTTTGACAGAAAAGCAAAAATGCAAATAAAGATACAAACTTCCATGACTATCTACAGTCAAGTCACCCCACAATATTCCTGCAAAAAACCCTGTCTTCTTCAAAGAACTCTTTCGCTTGTCCGAAGACCTCTGTAAGCGAAGTTTCCTTTCAATCCAAGTCATCAATACTCTACAGTCTGCCCCAATCAGGATCAGGCCGAACCGTCTGCTGAATTTGAGCGCTCGCAGCGCTAGACGATTGCGCTGCATACGCGCGCTGTCGCAGAGAGTGAAGAGATCAAGGAGAGAGCAGACTAGCTAGCCGCAGATGTGGCGCGAAACCCTTGCGGCGCGGACTCCCGTCATGCCGATTTTGGCCTGGTTAGGATTGAGGCAGACTGTAGCTGGAATCCCTCGGCAGGCTTCGAAGCATAAATGAAAATTAGCTGATTACGAAACTCACATCTGCTCAGCAAGATAGCTTCGTATTCTAGAATTGCGGCGAGTAGAATTTGGGACGACAATTCCGCAATTCACCAATTTTCCTATCTTCTTTGGAAAAAAGACTGCGGATACTTTTAACGATTAAAAATCTACAAAAAAAGTGCTATCGAATCGTCCTTACTAAAGTATACTAGTGGCAATGCGCGCAACTTTGCATCTTTGCAAAGGGACGTCGCAGAAAGATTAACGAATTTCGAAATTACCAACGCTTATACAATAAGTTTCAACTCGCTTTAGGCGGAAATTGGATTGGCGGGCGTCCGCCTCGCAACGGCTCGCGCCGTTTCGCAGCTACAGTAAATCATATCGTGCTGAGAACCCAGGTCTGAGTCTCTTCATCCTCCCCAGTCTTTGCTTGGCAAAATGCCAGCGCTGTGCGCTCGCGAAGTCTCCAGCGATGCGCACGCGCTCCTCCTCGCAGAATGTTTTGCCTAATCCGGGATGAAACCGACTGTATCTCTTTTGGAAAGAAGTCTGCGGCTATACTTTAGTGCGCTATAATTTACAAGAACAGTACTATCTAATAGTAATCACTGGTATTTTTTACGTTAGATAGGCGCGTAACATCCTTGCAAACAGAACTCCACAGAAAAATCTGAGAAAAACTGGAAACGGAATATCGAGGACATACTGTAAACCAAAGGATTCGCCTTAACGAACTGAACTGCTCCTTTTGGATTCAAAATATATTCATTCTGAAGGAAGTTATGGCACCGCGTAGCTCGCGTGACTTGCGTGAGTTCCGCGAAAATCCTGGAATGTCGCGGAATTCCAGGGATGTCGCGGACTTATGCGGAAGTCCCGGAATTTCGCGACATTCACGGAAATTTTGCACATTTTGAGAGTGGTATTGTATAGCGATCGTTTTGCCGTTTTGATTTTCACCTTCTTCTTAGCTAGTGCATTAACAGCTTTGACAGTTTTGATCACGTCGGTGTGCCATTTATGACTAATGAAGTCCGTCGTTCGGATGTGTATGCACATTGAGTCAGAATGCCTAAATAGTGACTTATTCAAAGACGCGAAATGCAAAGTCTTTTTTCACCTCTGCAAAGAATGTGTTATGACGCTTCCATTTGATTTCATCTCTTCTGAGAATTGCAGAACAGCGCGTATCTCAGCAATATAGTCCTCAAAATACCTGACGTTCTGGGCAAGAGTAAAGTCCAGCAACAAATACTGATCGGTATAATTTTCCAGCCTTAAGATTAATCCTGCCAGCTTAGAATAAGAGCATCCATGCTAAAGACACAAACCTTGATGGATCAGCATAAGCATCAAACTTTTTCGCAAATTTTACAACCCTTTGCTTGGTTCCCTTCTGAAAATGCTGGTTTTATAGTAATTACTTTGACTTATCTCAAATTTCTATACATTGTATTCTAAACGAGACAGTCACGAAATCAGTACATTCATTCAAATCGTTGAGGACAACGTACCTTCGCAAGAACATAGGTTTTATTCAAAAGAGGAAAAACTCTTTCTAAGTAAGTTAGGTGCTTCTCGACGTGCGCTCTGTGCCGCTCGAATGGCAAGTAATGTATCCTGTTGATGGTCTTAGCAATGCCATATCCGGAAAACAGGTGGAACATCTAAAAGTTTGCATATTTTTAGATATGATTAGGTCTACGGTTGATAAAAGCGGGAAGAAATTTTTTCTAAGTGGAGAGAAGAGAGATATGCAGAAGCCGTAGTTTCGAAATGTGGGAAATTCTGATATTTTTCTCAATTTTAGCAAAGCTATCTTGATTTCTGCAGATTGTATTATTTTGAAAATTAACAAAGTAAGAATATTATAAAATTAGTCTGCGCAGGTCTGTGACTCATGTAATTTTTCAAAATTTTCGAACTCATATTCAAAGCAAAGTTTAGATCAATGAATGATTTAGAAATGGAGCCGCGCGTGGTCAGCAACATTTAAGCAGTTCGTGCGGTCAACAATCGACGATTTTTTGAAAAAAAAAAAAGCAAATCGCAAAGCATGGCTCAAAATTCATGCAGCAACTTTGATCCATGTAAAATTTGAAGCCGAAAATCGAGTCTCTGTTAAGAAGAACCCATCAGACTTCAAATATTAGATTGGCTAAAAAATAATTTCCACTTCTTAGTGGACTGAAGGTGAACACTCTGGTTTAGCTTTCCAGTACATTGCACTAGGGGAGGTCTAGACGTGCAGCGTTGACGAGACGTTTGGCGGTGTAGTGAAATACGAATGCGAATGCTACGATCCTTTTCAGACTCCCGACGAAGACGAATTGTTCGAAACGTTGAGTCAATAAAGTTCCACCAATCAACCTGGTTAAGGCATAAAGAAAATCTTATATAACGGCTAAAAAATAGTTTTGTTTTTATCATGAAAATCTTCATAAAAACTTTGCCAGTTGTCCTTTACCTATAATTTTTTGGAGATAAGTAGTTCAACCCTAGCAATCATTCAGAAATTCTACTCATCAGTAAGGAACAACTATGCCCCAAAATGGCTATAATTCTAAAAGCTCTCCGCGACCTTTTAAGCTTCGTTTTTATGCATAATGGAGAACGCAGTTTGGTATTTGTATACAGACAAGTTTTGCTTATCTAGCGAACATCAATAAAAATTATGATCTATCACAAAATTTTTTGACCGAAAAATCCAAATTTTCTCATACTTGCACACAGTGCGAAAATTTGGACTTTTCACTTTTTTGCGGATTTTCTTATTGCAGAATGAATATCACTTAAAACTTTATGTTCCAAATCTCATTTGAGTGTTCTTTGCAAACCAAATATTGCAGAAAAAAAGCCTGCAGCATCTCTCATCATTAAAACCAACAGAAATTATTATTTATTAGCTAATCTGATAGTTCACACGCGTACTTCCACATCAAACATCCGTCGATATAACTGCTGTATTTTTTTCAGCTGAAAGCTAAAATGGAAATCTCAATGCATTTAAAGCGATGCTGGACAGTTTTATATAAGTATCATACGAGATGTCTCAAAATAATGTGCACACTGTTCAATCGTTGGTAATTCTCTTGCTTTGAAGTCTTTCGCCGATCTTTAGGTACCATTCTATAGTGTTGGCTCCAGCTTACATATACAGTATGGAAAGAATCACAAATCGTCCTTTTTTACTGTGGGTTTCGATAAGAACTGCCAGCATATGGAACCATTGTGAAATATGCCATATGGCAATTTTTTTCAAAAAATTTGAAAAATTGTGTACTAGAGCTTTCACGCATGCTGATTTACTACACAACATTTCAAAAATATTCATGGCTTTTTTGACGGTGTAATCACATTTCCGACTAATATTCAAAAACAATTACTGCGGTTCAGGTGGAATAACTTCGGAAAGAAGGTATACAGTAAAACGAAAGTTCCATATTCTATATCAGCGTCCTGAGGCAAAATAAGGCTCAGTGGCCTAAGATCCTTGTCAAAGCTCTTACCGTAATGCTTTTCGCTGATCTTTGGGTACCTTCTTCAGAGCTAATGTTTACAGTATGGAGCGAATCACCGATCGCTCTTCATTGCTGTAGGAGAATGGTAGAAACTTTTAACATACAGCATTATGAAATAGACCGTCTGACAGAACTTTTCGAAAAATCTAGAAAATTGTGCAGCAAGGTTTGCTGATTGTGCTGATTTCACTACAACAATTTTACGACTTTTCTGGGCTTTTTTGATGATGGAATCATATTTCTGGCGAACAGAGCATTTACGATTCAACTGGGGTAACTTGGGAAAGAACCATCCCACTCAAGAAAAAATAGCATATTTGAGACCAGCGTTTTTGATCACCTTAGCATGAGACTTCTTGGCTTGTTTGGTTTATTTTCTCAGGCAAAATATGGTTCTCGATAGCCTGAAATCCTCATCGAAGTTCCTACCGTAATCCTACAATAATAAAAAGCGATGAGTGATCCGTTTCATACGGCATATTTAAGTTGAATCCAGCTCTACAAAAAGGCACCCAAATATCGCAAAAGACATAAGGAGAAGAGGGTTATAAACGACCAAACAATGCGCACGTTTTTAAGACACTCTGTATTGAGTCGTTATGAAGTTTTTTCTCCGTTTTTTGACAATTGGCATGAGTAGATGGGTATACCGATTACGTAAAAAAACGGGGATAGGGAATTAGCATGTAGAAGTGGGTACAGGGAAGGGTTGTGCAGGAATAGGGATCCTCACATCTATCGTAGTGTTTTGCAGGGGCGAGCGGAGCCGGATAAGCCACCTAGTTTCTCAAATTCGTCTCTATAAATAGAAGAATTCTATTACTAGTCCACGAGCGACAACAGTTTTTTTTGCACAACGAAAGTAAAGCACTTGATATCTGTATGCTGGAGTAAAGCGTGAGCAAGCATGAATCATCATGGATTCAGCTGATTTCTTACGCTACAAGCAAACTTAAATTAGAATCGCAGACTTGCGCATGCCAGAGCAGTGCTCTTCTGATTTGCTCATGAACTATGCAACAAAGAGTACATGTATTCCTTACGGTCAATTTATTTTCTAGAATATAAGCCACTTAAAATGGCAACTAGATTTGTCTGTTTGCCTGTCTTAAATGTGTATAGAAGTAGACAGTTCTGAAAAATCATTGTAAAATTTCCATATCTTTTTTTACACCGCTTGTCTTTTTTACATGTATCTTTTTCTCATTATAGCCGATATCGCTTAATCCAACAATTTTATTCATTGAAAAGTATTTTTGCAAAATGTTAAAACATTTCAATTCAAAAAATCTGAGGACTGAACATCGAAACAGCCTAGTGTATAAAGATCTTTGATGATGAGGACGTATAAGCGAGTTTCAGATAGCACACTTGTTCTGAACGGACATCCAATTCTCGATAGTTTTGGGCATTGAACTTTTAGAACTCAGCTTCAATTTTAGGAAATTTGGTGCGAAAATTTGAATGCCATTATGTAAAACTGACTTTACTCTATGGAATAGCTCTGACATCCACGAATAAGATTGTTTTGTTCCTTTTAAAAAGTGAAGCGATAATCTTTTTTCCAACCTGATGATAGCTTGTTCTGACAAGGAAACGCTGTACTCGCTGTCCGTGGCCTTTTGAGATGAAACGTTCACCATCAAACTCGTCATGGAACGCTGATTCCAAATCTAACTTCCCTTTCCGCTAATCATTTCTCTACGCGTCAATGGTCGCCTAAGAGAAGTACGGTTGAGGATGCCTAACTTTCAATAAGAAGCTTGATTGAGGTAATGCAAAACTGAAAAACACAAAAGAGTTGGGACCTAAACTGGCATTGACTCGTGAGGCTATCACACTAGCTACTACACCACATCGTGGCGGCGCGCATTCGGACCATATTTCCCTTGGTGCAAAAATACTTCAAAACTTTTTTTCAGAGAAAAACGATTAGCAAAAACGGAAGTCAGATTCGGACTCAGCTCTCTAAGGCGTGTGTAATGTTATACAGAGTGTCCCAAAATAAGTACACTTTTAATCGTCAATATCTCCCTTCCCAATGGGTCTTTTTCTGCCAATCAAATGCCATTCTATAGAGGAGGCTTCAATTTAGATTTACAGTATCCATCAAATCACCGATCGCTCTTCGTTACTGTAGGATCACGGTAAGAACTTCCACCATCTGGAACCATTGTGAAATATGCCATCTGACAAAATTTTTTCAACAAATTTGAAAAATCGTGTACTAGGATTTTTGCGCGCGCTGACTCCATTATAGAACTTTTTAAGAGTGTTTTCAGCCTTTTTGACGGTATATCACATTTATGACAAATACTGGGAATTTGGTTATTACGGTTTACCTGGAATAACTTTGGAAAGAAGCATCACAGTAAAGTGGAAATTTCATATTCAAAATCAGCAACTTTCATTACCATAGCATAAGATATTTTGGCTTGTTCGGTTTTGTTCCGAGGCCAGAATACGGCTTCCAATGGCCTACAATCCTTGTCCAAGTTGCTACAGTAATCCTATAGTAATGGAGAGAGGTTGGTAATTCGTTCGACACTGTATATCTAAGCTGAAGTCTCCTTTAAAGAATGGTACTCAAATGGCGGAAAAAGACTCAATGGGAAGAGAGATACTAACGATTGAAAAGTGTGTACTTACTTTTGGGACACCCTGTATATCTTATCTCAAAAGGCGACGGACACCAAGTATCGTTCCCTTGTAAGTATTTTTCCGGTTTTTTGAGCAACCGTATAAACTTTTGGATTGAAAAATTCAAGCACTTACAATTCCTCCTTCAGCAATCATGTTTCTGGGTGAGGGAAGAGAAAACGCAAAACAAGCAGCAGAAGCAGAAAAAACTCTTCAAAACCGAAAAAAATGTTGATAAGCTTGAAATTTTTCATCTGGCGGTATTTCGAAGTGCAGGTCCTCGATTCAGCATGAGGTACTACCGGCGGGGGGGGGGGGGGGGGAAGAGAGATAAAGTTTATTTCTTCCTTGTGATGGTGTTGAAAACAACCATGTCTTGTTAGTGATAACTATCAAGAAGAAGGTAAACAGGAGAAGAGGGGAAGAACTGCCCTAATATCATGAAATATGGGACACAGGGGATTAAAAAGCCAGACACGCTTAAGGACATCGCGACCAAAAAATTATATACTGTGCTGCATGTTGCCTGAGAATGTCGTGCGGCATAAGCCTTGTTTCCGAAATAGAGAGATGCGGCTGAGCGGCTCACTCCAAAAGTCGAAAAATCTGCGCCCTATACTCATGAAAACGGGGTAGTTTTAAAACGCGTTTATCGAGTCAAAATGTACATCGAAGCTAGTCTTGTTTCTAATGCGTCCTTTGAATTTTAACACGCTTCTCGTAATTTCTTTTCCTGGCAACGCAGTCAGCCTGCTGCACAATCACGGGCAAGATGCCAGAAAACGTGAAAAGAAATTGCTCAATAGCTCCAATTGAGAGCTGTGTACAAAAACGCATTTGGAAGCTTTTAATCAAGTATTTCACCACAACCGAAGTAATGAACTCTACGACTTTGCCTACATTGTGAACAGAAGCAAGATCTATCGAACACTCGAAAACTGCATAAGAAGGACATTCCAAAAATTAAGAGACTTTTGAATTCGAAAATGCCAGATTTCTCGTTCAATACAAAAATGGGGTTATGCGACATTGTCAGAGTTAAAATAGAGAGTAGGAGCTAAATATCGTATACAGTTAGCTAAAAATTTGAACAACGAAGAAGGGGCACCAGAGCCAAAAGCCAATTTGCCCCGGGTTTAGGATAACTAAGTAACGCGCGATCCGTAGAAACGCAGAGTTCTAGTATTTTCTTGAAGGGAAGGCACCTAACTCAGGCTCCCGCCAGAATGCCGAAGCCATGCCAGCGCTACGCCAGCGCCGAGCTAGCGTTTCGATCGATACACGTGTATTTCGTTGGGGCGGGGTCCTGGCTATATGCTATTCCTATCTGCCGCATCATTCCAAGTCGCGTTTCTTGATTTTTTTCTGTGAAAAATTTGCATTCTCATCAACTCACTGGTATTACGGCATTATCAGCTGAGTGTTACACTTGCATTGAGTTTCTTGTCAGCAAAAAAAGATTCTATCTAATGTTATTTCGATCTCGCAGCACACTTTTCGGGCGGATTCCTACCTACAGCCAGTACGCCCATGCTGACTAATATGCCCATTTTGCATAGTGAAAACTCATAACAGGCTTTGAATGGTGCGCCCAGCGAGAAATGCCATTATTCAAATTAGCATTAGAGACTGAACAATATGTATGTCTTTTCGAGAGTCAAGCTTACGTATTTCCACTAATTGGTTTTGATTGATAAAAGTCACAAAACAGTGAGCACAGGCTCGAGCTTGTTATTAGACAGTTACTTGATGATCCGCTCGGCACCTGAATAAGGGACATTTTGTCAGCTCAACTTCAAGGTTCAAAAAAGTTTCACCAGGGCATCACTTTTCATCATAAGTCATGTTGTGATTCAAAAGCTGCACCATTCGCATGATTTTTGGTGGTAAAGAAGATATCAATGTACAAGGTGTCCCAAAAAATGTATCGAACGTTTGATCGTTAATATCTCTCTTCTGAAGAAATCTTTTCCCTTGGTTCAGGTACCAATCTGTAGGGCTGGCTTCAACTTAGGTTTGCATTATAGAGCGAATCACCCATTTCTCTTCATTACTGTAGAATTACGGTAGAAACTTCAAAGAGGGTTTTAAGCAAGAAAGGCCATATTTTGCCCCAGAAAGGAAACAAAGCAGCCTGAAAACTTTTACACTAGGCTAATTAGAGTTGCTGATTATAAATGTAAAGTTCCCGATTTACGATGCTTCATAGAAGATGCCAGGTAGGAGGTAGCGGCCATTTTTTCGATGTTCTTAAAAAGTGCGGTTACACCGTTTAGAAAGCTTCGTAATCTTGTGAATAGTTGAGTATTGAACTCAGCGTCCATAAAAACCCGAATACACAAGTTTTTACATTTTTTTGCAAAAATTTTGAAACGGCAGCTTTTTCCACATTGACACCTATGTGTCAAGTTTCTACTGTAATCCTACAGTAATGAAGAGAGATGGGTGGTTCGTTCTATAATGCAAATCTAAGAAGCCAGCTCTACAAAACGGTACCTAAAGCAAGGCAAAGACTTCTTGGGAAGAAAGATATTAACGGTCAAACGTTCGATACATTTTTTGGGACACCCTGTATTATGAAAAACTGCTATATTCAAGGTACAACTGGTCGAAAGAAAAAACTGGTTGCTCGCAGTGTGAACAAATTAATTTCTGTATATATAAAGCGGAAAATCTGTGTGTTTGTGTGTCTGTGCACATTTTCCATAGTTCCCATCTGCACGTTTCCTATTTTCTATTCCACATGAAGAATAAACGGTGGAACTCATTTTGATCTGCTGGTCATCAAGAATGGTAAGGATGGTAGGAAGCTAACTCAAGACGAATCGGAATCAAAAGAAGGGTATTCGCTACATGAGAGAACAAGCACTATTGACTGGAACGGGGTGGAACCCGGGATGTGCCAGCTTGTAAGATAATAACGAAATTGATTTAGGCTTAGTCAAAAGAACAAAACTGAATTGATCTGGCTGAAGACAGCGGCTTGGGAAAAATGCGATTGCCAGTTTTCCACCTTTCCTTGGCCTTCTGGATGTGCTGAGTCCAGTATTGTGCTTGAATCTCTCGAAGTTGTCAAAAAGTGCTTTTTATAGCGTTTCAACCTTGAAGATCGTTGAAGGGGCTGGACAAGCGATTCTTGCCAACTGGGATTGGCCGCCGAGCCAAGCAGCTAATTGCCGCCAAAATGGGTGGATAAGTCTTCTCAAACAGTCTTCTGCAGTTAATTGCTGTTTTTGATAAAATTGCTCGCCCATCCTCTTTCAGTAATCTCTCTGGCCATAAATGTCACAAAAGCGCTTTTTCTGTCAAATTCGAGAGTTTCCAAGCGTAGTGCTAGATTCAGCACATTCTGGAGGCCTAAAAGAAATGGATAAATCGCAGCTGCAGTTTTTCCGAGCCACTGTCCTTAAACGAGTTGATGTACGCGATGCTACTGCTGCCAAGGTGTCATTTTTGGTCACAGTGGGATTATGCAACCTCTTGAATTCATCATTTTATGGTTAGGTGTTCTTTTCGACAAGGTGAGAAAATACCGAAAATAAATTACAGTCACGAAAACGCCCTACTACAAAATCCATATTTCCATGATCAGCATGTCAATAGCCCTCTTCCAAACTTCAGTCAAACGTGTAACCACTGCGAATCTAGATGCAACAGCACTCCTTTAGCGGAACAGTGACTGCACTTGGAGACTCACGTCATAATCTTTATAATGCTAGTGTACGAATGCGTCACATGTAAAGATGAAAAAGTTACGGACATTGTTGCAAAACCTGTTATAAACTGTTATTACCTGATTTCCAAGGCGGCCGGAGTTCAAGTGAAGCCCAACATACTTCTTCTGTTCGACGGACGTCTGGTCTGAAAGCGCATCCAGTGAGCGTAACGAAAGAATGAAAACACCAGCGGGTTTGAATTAGTCATTTGAGTATGCGTTACCTGATATTGTGATTAACGATCTGTCAATGTATTCTTTTGCGAATCGTAGTTCGCGCTTTTCATGCTATCTAATCACCCGTCGCAACAAGATTATAACAGTCACAAGTTTCTCCATTATGGCTAGTATGATATTAGGTTGTCAGATTGTCATGTTCAGATAATTTTACTTTCACTCCTTTTTTTCTAATTCTTGAAAATCTCAGATGCTTTAGATAGATCTCATGTTCACGGCATGTGGGCAAAAGACATATTAATCAAAACCGCTACATCTGCGGCTCGTGCGTAAAACATTTACTTTGTGGCTAAAAATTCGTTTTGTCTCAATTTTGTGAATGATTTGGCATTCTTGCAAGTGATGAGCAGAGACCGGACAATGTGATGATCAGGCAGGCATAGTTCATAGTGTTAAGCATTTATGCGGAATGACACATACATGTTCACACACGCTCTGAGTTACTAGTCAGTGTGCGCCACATTTGTGCAATAACTCACATTCTGACAAAGAAAAAGTCTCTGACAATTCAGTAAATTATCGCTAAGGTTTCCATATTTATTCCATTCATTTCACGTGAATAGAAGAATTTAGGAAAGGCTCTGAATTTTTCCGTACTTTTCTCACCCCCCGTTTTGTAACGCCCGAGGCAGTGGAGTGTCTCCATGTAAGATACAGTGCCAAACATACTAAAAATAGAAGAGGACAACACGAATAAGTGCAGAGAAGAAATCATAGAAGAATAGATAATTATAGATAATTTGGGTGTGTTCACAACTGCCGTTTATTTGTTAGTCATTTGTGCATGCGGCACCAACCATGATGGGTAGACAATACTATCCTAAGCGTGTTGCAAAATTGAATTTCCAAAAAGTTTTTAAAATTCTTCAAAAAAACTGGAAAAAGTGTAGCAGAAAGTGTTCGATACTCTTACAAATAACAGTGAAGCAGGACATTCTAAATTCATACGAGTTTCAGAGAAATAGAACTCAGTCATAATCATGATTGATGTATCCTGAGCTTGGTATCCGAAGTTTTCCCACGGAGTTCTCCTAATTCATATAGGCAAGTGCGCTTTCTTTTACGATCAAAGTGAAGGTCACTTGAGTACGTAGCTTCATGTATTGAAGGCATAATTGCATAACATAGTAAATCAAACAGAAAGCAAGCAGAGTAAATCAACAAAAAGCAAGCAGCCGCCATGTCAAGAACTGGTTATATAGACCCGTTGCAAATAGTTTGTGCTTCTGTTTACGATCCATACAAAAGCAATGTACAGACATTTCTTATAATAAAGCTTTTCCGCATTGAAATTCATGCTTTTGACTTGGGGGTTTTTTTGACAATTGCTCATATTAGGTTGGTGCAAAAATAATGAGCGTTTTCTCATTTTTCACTTTAACTTGCTATAACTTTCTACAACTACATTTTGAAATGTGATAAACACCATCAGATGCAGCGAACCTTTCGCAGTACAGCGCACATTGAACTATACTCATATCTCATATGGGCAGAAAAATATGGATTGAAAAACAAAAAGAGTTTTTTTCTGAAGCCTTGTTTTTGACAGAACATAACTCCTTTCACACTTTGTTCTTATGATTTATTAGGAGCCTATCTTGTAGCCTCAATTCAGTAATACAAATATACATGGAAACGGCTTGGAGAAAAGATTAGCGAAGACGGAAAAATCGAAATTCAAAAATATAACTTTTTTAGCATTTTTTCAGTAGGCCTCAAAACCCAGCAGTAGAGAATTTTTTGATTTTCTGAGTACTGAAAAGCTGGATGTTTTTGCAAAAACCGCTAATGGGACTTCTACTTTCACGCTTACAGAGATGAGCAAAGTTTGAGCGACTGCATTTTACAAAAGAAAGTTAGGGCTCTAAAATGACCACAACCATTACCCATCTTAAGCCGCCGATATCTCACTTTAGATAGCTTGAAAAAATATGTTGAATATGCATAATGTAGACAATTTCCATTAGATATAGCGGCTAAATTTTCGATAAACTACCTTTATTCGCGCTCAAATTCTGGCCAGAAAAATGAATGCAACGAAAATCTAATTTTGAGTGCGATTATGTGAAGAGCACTATAAATTCTTAACAGAATGGGCTAGAAGTTCCTTTCGAATATCATCAGATAGAGCATGAAAAGAGCTTTCTAACAATGTGCTGAAACCATTAAAAAGAAAGACGTTTGATGGAGAGAAGTTGTCCTGAAGAAAGTCCTAGGAAAACGCTCATTATTTTTGCACCAACCTAATATAGTCGATAAAGCTACAAATCATCGCTTCTCGGTGTTTTGCTCACAAAATTTCAAAAACCCTTCTAGATTTTTGCAAGGAATTGTGACAAGATATATGTTCAGTTTAGTAGTCTTTTGCTTTTTTTTTGATCGGACTTCCAGAACAATGGAGGCTAACTTCCTCGCAATTCTTCATTTTCAATTTCATTTATGACTTTTGTCTCTGCAAAAATTTTATTAAGACATTTCGAAAGTATTTTCGCTTTTTTCAAACGGACGTCACATGTGATTAATCAAAGATTTCTAAAATCTTGGTAGCATTCAATGCAGAATTTCATTCTCTTTCTAACGGTTTTAAAACTATCGCAGCACTTTCAATCAGCTTTCAAAAAATTACAAAAGTTCGCGATCCATGCTTTTTGAGATGCCCAAGTTTCACAATTTTTTCTAAATTTTTAAAGCAAACCTCCGAAGGAATCCAAGTAACGATTCGATAGAGCAAACCTCATAGGTTACGTCTTAACTTTTTTCTAATTTTTATATCTCGCCATAATTTCTTAAAAGATTTATTATTGAACCCATCGAATTTTGACAAGCCTTCGTCAGCCACCTTCGCATCAAACACCAATAAATCTTCGGAATTTGAAACTTCCAAAATGATATTATGATTTAACACTAATTTTGCAAAGCGAATGAGAGTTTACGGAATCGAAATATCAACTATCGATTTTTCTGGGCACAGCCCGGAACGCGTTCGAAAGTATGAATTATGATGATACTATACGCAAAAACCCCACGAATGAGAAGAAAAGCATCCATTAGAAAGAGTAGAACAAGCTGCATCGAATGACACTCGAGCTGCTTACCGTTTGATGTTCTACGATGTTTGAGTTGACCAAGAATGGAAATTCGTGGCATCAACTAAAATTCTATTAAAAAATTTTGAGGAGTTAAGTGAGTGGAAAAAATGGTTTCGTATTCTGTACGGGTTTGCTCTATCGAGTCGTTACTTAAACTCTTTCGGAGGATTGTTGTACGAGTTTAGAAAAATTGTGAAACTTGAGCATCTCAATAAGCATGGATCGCAGACCTTCATAATTTTCCAAAAGCCTATTGACTGTGCTGCAATATTTCTAAAACCCTTAGAAAGAAGATGAAATTCTGCATCGAATGCTACCAGGATCTCTTGGAAATCTTTGTTCCATCACATGTGGCGTCCGTTTGAAAAAAGCGAAAAACTTTCGGAATGACCTAAGATAAATAGCGAATAATAGCTTTTAGGAAATGCGAGAAAGTTGTATTCCATGACACATAATATCATCCAACTTTATCATTACGAAAGTTTCCTTTCCTCGAACAAATTTTAAGTCAATTATTGCAAAATAGTAACTAAAGAAGACTCAAAGCTCGCCGTACACACTGCAAACTTGATAGACTAGCCAGAAAATGAATAGTTCACTAGCATAAATAACTGCAGAAATTTGCAATGTATCAATCCTACCTTTGCTGAGCTTCCTCTTTTATATACTTTAGTTATCTTTCAAAGCCTAGTAGCGTAGGCGAATGAAGTTTATAGAACTTTTTGGCGTTATTTCAATATCTGAGCTTCAAAATTTCAAAGTCATAGATTTCGCTCAAACTTGTTGAAGGAACTGTTCGACCCACTTATGCCGAAAAAGTGTTTTCTCAAATCGTGGTCGAGTTAAATGTTGTGCAGAGAGGTTATCTAACATAGATGACGAATGTGATACCCTCTAATTGCAATAACGAACTATTGTAAAGTGGTAGTTGGTTTTACAAGGTCTGCAACTTAGCTGGATAACGGCTATCATATTATCATTACTGAAAAGGGGTGATGTAGGTGATGATTTATCAATTTTGTATTATTATATTCATTAATCAGCACTGAGTGATCTTATTGCAAGTTCAACATCCACACTCTATACCCTGCAGCTTCTAATTCTCATATACTAGTGGACCAGCAAAAGGCGCTAGGTTTGCAGGAGCGTCAATGCGAGAGCCGATCAATTTCCCGCAATTTCATTGCTTGTGAATAGTCACAACGATCCTTTATATAGGAATATAATGATAGGAAGCAAATGCATAGTTGAACCTGGTTGATTGCTGATTGACATATGCTCTCCAAACAGCGTTTTTTGCAGCCATTGTTCTTTGGGGAGGGCGGCCAGAATCTTCCAAATGTATACCGCTTTTTCTCCAGGCCCGCTCTTGGGAAACAACAATCTCTTCGCGCCCGCCTCGCTTATGTCGCACTTGTCTTGCACATTTCTGCGATGATTCTCTCCGGGCAATCGCCTTGTTTCTCCTATCATTGACTAAAAGGTCACTGCTTAAATAGTAATTTTTCAATGAAAACAAGAAAATGCTGTGGGAACTAATGAATCAATGTTGTAGACCAAAAAGGAAAGTGCCTCTTGCCGAAGAAGACCACTTAGTGAAGTGCCAATGAAAGTTGATGCATACCATTACAACGAAGCTCGAAATGCTGACTACATCTGCGAAGTGTTTCTCCAAAGGAAGTAATGGGCTTTTTCGTATTTATATTTGATAATGGAAGTTAGTTCAACAAGAAAAGGTGCGTAGATAACAGCATTGCCGGAAAACACTCGAAAACGTTCAGATGAACGGATTAAATGTACGATGCTTAACAAGAGTTCCAGTGAGCCTGCATCTTTCTTGGGGAAATCAATTTTGCAACATAGAAAGCATGCAATTTGGGTCAGAAGGAAGTTTGCATAATGGCATCTAACATTGAGAAAGGAAGCGATTAAAATTTTTTATCAACAATGTTTGCTGTGATTTTGGACCTTTTGAATTACATACCCTTTTAAAACTTTGAGTAAAAGCTTAGGTACAGCGGCCCAATGAAGTGCCAAAAAACAATGTACTGCATGTTTTCTTCTAGTTGTATGTTTCCGAAAATATGCTCATGACTTGGCTCCGCTGATGAGCAAACGCGCTTGCTTCTTTCTGTCTACTTCATCTCAATACCCACAGCGGAATGTGCTTGCCTGTCAGTTAACTTACTTCTTCCCACATTTTGGTTGTTACCGGCAAATCGTTGGTTGCGGTAACCTTTCCGACTACAAAAACAACAACCCTTCTAATCACCTTGAATAATTGTAAGATAACCAAATGTTTCACCTCCATTTGTGGATCAGTGAGAGTTTCACATATCCATCTTTTCTTATCGTTCAAAAATCATCGTTCAAGCAGTGACCTTTCTAATTAACGCCAGGAGAGATAAGGCGATTGTCCGAAGAGGATCTATCGTAGGAATGGGCGAGGCAAGTGCGACATAAGCGCGAAGCGGGCGCGAAGAGATTGTTGCCTCCCAAAGGCGCGCCTGGAGAAGAAGCGGCAAGCCTTTGGAGGATCCTGACACGCCGCCGTTCTTTAGTGCTGTTAGTGCAAATTCAACGTCCACACTCAATATCCTGATTACAACTCTCTGACAGGATACAGAAAAACACTTTGCGCTTTTGAGGGGCATTCGGATGTCTTCAAAATCCAAAGCAAAGTCCCCATCCAGGAAAAAGCATCAAATTCGGAATCACCCGTCGAATAAACCTCTCTAAACCAGAATTTAGCCTGGAAAGGTTTTTGACCCCATAATGTACACCTACCGTACCTTCACACGAATGCATTATTGCAGTTAGCCAGTACGATAATTTGAGTCGAGTATACGCCCTCTAGATCAAATTCGATTTTGTCCCCGACCGTGTACAAACCGTAATCCTATAAAATCGCGCGACAAGATATCAATATGATATTCGGCATTAGCGGATTCAGGCATCCTGAACCGAATTCTAGAACTGATGACTCTGGAATTCTGAGGCCCTACTGGATTAGCGACAATGTTGCCATTCAATGACCGTGGCTCCGGCACAAAGTGTACATTAAACGGTAAAATTTACTAGTATTGAGAGAAACCAGTCACTGGCGATTCTCAACATCTCATCTTGCGACTTTGATCTCAAAACCTTGGGAATTACGAGGTTTGTGATCTCAAGGATTTTTGAAGGAAGACGGCACGATTAGTCGTTTACATAGAGTGGGAATTAACCCCTAGTGTTATCACTCTCAAAGGCGCTTTGCAGATAGCTACAGTGAAGTTAGCGACTTACATCCCTTCAAAATTTTCACATCACATTGAAAACTTTAGTTTAAACTCAATATCAGCGTGATGGAGATTCGACACAGATATTTGAAGGAAAAAACAATTTCTTGCAAGATACTCACTCGAAATCTTAGCCTATATTTTATTTTTGAACAGAAACAAGTTATAAGTCAAAAAATATAAAATGAAGAACAACTACCTGGTTCAAACGATTCTGGTATTTCCTTGCTTCGTTTGATAACGGTATTGAGAAGGCTTGAAGCATGATTGTGCATAGCCAGCAGACATAGGACAGCAAACACGAAAACACCGGCTTTAGCTGACCGAAGCCATGCAGGTCTCGTCCACTTTCCTTAAACACAGATACGGCGATTATTGCTTTTTTATTGTGTACAGCACTGAAAAAAATCTGTTATTCTGCAAAAGTTGTTGCAAAAGTTGCAAGCTCCTCTTCTTATAGATAGATCCGACTGCATAGTAAAAAAAAAGTCGTTTTTTTTTCTGAAAGCTGGTCCAAAAATTAATAAGAACAGCGAACTCAATTTGCTGTCATTTAGATGAATTAAGAGTTTGAAATAACTGCCGGCAAAGTCCTATCGTCACCTCGCGGCTGCGGCTGGCAACGAGATAATCCCGGCAAAAGACGAGGACACTGTTCCTTCAGGTAGAGCGACGCGCTGGGGATTGCAGGAAACTGTCATGTCACATGTGCATTGGATTATTAAGGATTTTCATTGAGTTACTGGGGCTTCTCCCAAAGGCGACGCACGTCACTGTTCGCATGGCGCGAATAGTGAGCAGGGTACATAGCTAGGGTATTATAGTACAAAATTGATAAATCATCACCGACATTACCGAGTCCAGGAAGTTCTACTAACGACGATCAATCGAACGCTAACGAGGCGCAGCCGAGAGTTATGTGGTAGACTAAAGGAGCGACGCATCGACATCGCGTGTGCGCAAGAAACAAAATGGAAGGTAAGGCGAGCCAAGGATTTCGGCGAGAGATGCCGATTCTACTACACTGGAGAAAACAGTCGCCAGAAGTAGCGGAGAATCATCGTCAGCGGTAATACCGCGAGTTGGTTTCTGAAGTGAGACTCGTATTTTGAAAAGACTTATTACAACGAAGCATAGGACATCACACTCCGAGTAGTATGCCCCACAACTCGGATGGTCGACTCTGAGAAGGACACATTTTGGAAATTTCGACAATCTGCTACGAACATTCGACGCGACAAATTACATCTTCGTGGGAGGCGATCTTAACGGACACGTTAGTAACTCACTCGATAGTTTTGGGCAACACCATGGAGGAAATGGTTACGGTCAGAAGGATGAGAACGGAGACCGCATCCTGGAAGTAGCCGACGCACACGACTTGGCCATCGCAAGCACTTGTTCAAGAAGCGGGAAACACATTTGATCACGTATGCAAATGGAGACCGCTCTATTCAGATCGACTACTAGATGCTGCGTTGATGCACTTGTCGATGGTGATGAAAGCGAAAGTTATATCCAACGCGACACATGCATTTACACCGCATATCAACTGGCTGCTGCCCGACATCAAGCGAAAAGGACATCGACTATGTTATGCACACTCGAGATGTATTGGAGAAACTCCTGACAAAGCCGAAGAAAATACTTGAGAAATGAAGGCGATTACTGCGAAAAATTATGCAAGGAGGAATTTCTGCACCCACCAATCCCAAAGGGAGCGCCAACGTTCGGGCCACTGCCTCGGATCATCGAAAATGAAGCTGCGCAAACACTGAAGAAAATGTCAATTGGTAAAGCTTCAAACCGAATGAAATTCCTGCGGAGATATGAAAGTTGATGAAACAACGTGGACTGGTTCTACTCACATTATTTATATTCGGATTATCATCGAGGGGAAGTTAGCACAAAATTGTTAAAGAGTGTTACACTTCCTATTTGGGAAAGCTAGGGACGTCAGTAACTGTTCAACATACAATGCGATACGCCTCTTATGTCATACGGTGAAGATTCTTGGACGAGTCATCGACAAGCGTATATTATCAGGTTGTCCCTAAAGTAAACACCATTTTCAAATAAATTGAGCTGTTCTTGTTCTCCTAACAGACTTGATGAACCATTCGATAAAGCGGAGCAATCTCTACAAAAAGACCACCAAAGATCCACCTAAGTCGTAGTCCAGATAAAATTTGGGGCCAAAAATCAAAATTTTTCAGCTACCCTAAAAATCGGATCTCCTTCCAGAGAATTCCTACGGATTTACATCTTGGTCAGTATATGGTGGACACATAGTAGTACCCAAAAATGTATTTGGCAGTTTTTTCCGGGGCTAATAATTGAAAAAAAAGATAGTCCGAAAATGCTAAACTGCCACTTTTTTCGCTTTTTAAACGTAAAGTTTGATATTTCTCGAAAATAAGAGCACATACAGGTTTGAGGTTTTAAAATTATACTTATTAAGACTTATAGTATACAATGACATATGTGGGAGGAGCTGGGGGCGGAGTTTGCCATTTCTGGGCACTTTTTTTCTCGCCTTCTATGCTTCTATGCTCGGAAAAAACTCGGTAAAGGCGTATTTGAGTACTATTATGTGCCTAATGTACAGGGCGCGTCAAAAGTCTGGGAGCCTAACTTTGTGGTACTGCAATTATAAGAATACTGATGGTTTTGGTTTTAAACTACTTCGTACTTGGCCTTACGCGAAAAAATAAATTGTGTAACGAACATAGACGTGCGGCACATTTTCGGAGTTGCTCCGATCGCAGATAAAATGCGTGGAGAAGGTAATGATGGTACGGTCACGTTTTACGAAGTGACGATAATAGCAAAAACAGCACTTCGTCTAGACCAACAGAGAAAAAGGCACGCGGCCGCCAGAAGCAACATTAGTTGGACACCATTCGAAACGACCTGCACATCGCAAACCTCATACCACAACAAGTAGCCAGTCGAATGGAAACAGAAAAGCAACACCACTGACTCTGTGTTCGCGGAACAATGGCGAGGATAAAGAAGAAGAATGAGTTTGTAGGGCCATCTGTCTTGCATGAATTTCCCAGCTGATGTCTATGAGACTGTGAAATTTTCAAAGGTTTTTCGCGCCCTAAATCTTCTTTCAAAATGAAAACAATGTTTTTGAAAAATTATAGATCTTCAAAAGCACTTTTCTTCTAGTCTTACGCATGCTTTCATTTCGTTCGTTCTCAGCAAAGAACGTGCCCTGTTTTGTCGCCTCGGCGCAGCTCAAATGCAGCTACCTCTTATCAAGTCCGTCGGTTGAAGATGAATGTCGTGACGGTAAAACATGCTCGTAAATGTGCATAAAGGGCACACACAGCATGAATCGACCTCGTCCATGCTGGGCTAAGAAAAAAAACAGTAAAACAAGGCAGAAGGCTCACGAAACCAATAATCAAGCACTACAAATTAGAATACATTGATTTTTTTTGAAATATGGCGAGAGCAAAACGGATTCAAATGCACCACCGCAAAGTAAATTCACCTTCTGTTCGCAACCTCATCCTTTCGAAAATCCTTAAATAGAATTTTGATTAAATCCGCAGCAGTCAGAGAAATGACGAATAGCAACCTTGAACAATTATCTGAAAGCATCTGTTAAATTTTGATTAGGAAGAATTGAATTCAGAATGCATGATTTTGTGATTGTATGAAAAAATTTTTTTTACGATCACAGAAAAGGATAAGAAGAAAGAAAGAAAAAAGAAAAGAAAAAGGAAGTGAAAATACCAACTTTCGGAAGTCTAACAAAATTCATAAAAATACTCCCAAAATCTTTGAATCAGCATTTAGAATTAGCAGTACATCACAACATACATGGTACAAAGTTTCGCATATTTCACAAGAAAAAAACCATCTGCACCGGAAAGTTTTGTTATCCCAAGTCTTGAATTTTTGAACAACAACAGTTTTATTCGAAGTAACGTTATAGCCAATGTTTTATCACATCTATGATGTCGAGACGCAGACTAATTGGATGGTCCGACAGTCTCCACGCCAACTGGGCGGTGCCCAGCAACTCCAGATGAGCTGCCTAACCGGGTGACCGGCGGTTACCCTTCCCCTTTCCTTATCTTATAAATATATAATAAAGATTCTAGTCATAAATGTTATGTTCATATAAAGTAAGACAATCAGGGTGAAGGATTCAAGTCGGGAGAGTGCACCTCCTGAACTTGACATGGAGGTCCCGGGTTGTTTTCTTTTTGTGACTCACATTTTTCTGAATCAATCATTCTTTAATCAGTTTTTTTGAATCACCAACTTTTGAAATTAAACCAGCATAGATTTTGGCCAAATCTTTTGCAAACTCCCACCGCCGGCACCAGCGCTCATCTCCTACGTTCCTACGTAGTTTTTTTCCTCTTATTTGTTTTCCTCACTTATTTATTTGAGTCAGGCGATGAGTTGAGTTTTGTATTAACTTGCTAATCTTAGTGAACATTATTTTCTATTTTTCATCCATCTAATAATTTTTTTTCAATTTTCCTTGCCTTATCCCGCGAGCCGTGATCCCCCGAGCCGTGAAACGAACCGTGAATTTTTTGACGCGAAATCTCTAGATTGAGTTTCCGCGAGCCGTGAATTCCGCGAGCCGTGATTTCCTAGAGCCGTGATATCCCGGAGCCGTGATTCCGCGAGCCGTGAACTATTTTTAATGCTTTCTTTTGCCTTTCTTCGTCTCTATTCCCATTTTTTTTTCATGGGGAATCCCTGAATTTTTATATAATGCTTTTATACAAGAACTCAATGACTCTATCGCCACAGCCGGCACTGTAAATATGTAAATATAAGGTATCACTAGCGGAAAGACCACTGTGAACCTACTTTTAATTCCTAACTCTCACTAGCGGAAAGACCACTGTGAGAGTACTTTTGATTTTCATAATTCTCACTAGTGGAAAGACCACTGTGAGAATGCTTTTCAATTTTTATGACTTCACTAGTGGAAAGACCACTGTGAATGTACTTTTTTCCCGCTCACTAGTGGAAAGACCACTGTGAGCCCATTTTTTTTCAATTTCCCACTAGTGGAAAGACCACTGTGTGCCTTACCAAATTCAAAATTAAGTTCTCACTAGTAGAAAAACTAGTGTGAGTCCAATTTTGCTTAGGGAGAATTTCATGATTATTTATTATGATTGCCTGAGGAAAATCGACGGGCTATCTGATAGCTCGCGGTTACTTCCAAAGGCTACACTCCCAGTCCCTTAATTTTAACGGCTAATCACTCAACAACGAGTGACAATTAGCC